AAAAAAAAAAAATCTAAAACATCTGAAAACAATATATGTTATGAAGAAGAATAAACTAAACAACATTTGCCTCAACGTTACATCCAAATTCTTTACCAAATTCGAAATAAAAATCAAATACTAAAAATAAATAACAATAATGAAAAAAATAAAAATAAAACGATAATGAAATTATTGAGTGGGCGAGCACGTTTTTGACACCGCCATCTTTGGCGATTTTTCTTTTTTTTTTGGTTGTGACAAATGCCATGAAACTTTATATACGTGTATCTTACATAATAGAGAATCTACAAATAAAGTTTGAGAAAATAATAATTTTTTTCATGCCCCGAAATAAAGGAAAAACAAAACGTGAAAAGAGAGAAAAAACAAATTAGTGAGTGGACAAGCAAGTTTTGACACCACCATCTTTGTCGATTTTTCATTCTTTTTTGGCAGCACAGAATGGCTTCAAAATTAAGAGGAGATACCTCACATCACAAAGAACTCACAAAAACAAATTCAGAAAAAAATAATAATATTTAGGTCCCAAAATATTTTTTTGCGGGGTCCGAACCCATTCAGGTTCGGGCCCCGTACGGGGACCCGAACACCCGAACGTTCGGGGGTCAGCTTAGGGGCCTCCGTACGTTCGGCCTGGCAACCCTGTATATATATATTCTATTTGACGATATATATTCACCTGTTAGCAGTAGCGAATGCAGATCCCAGGACTCGATCCCTAGTTTTCACCTTACCTGTGTACAGTATCTGTGTCGTCCGCAGGAGTTGAACCCGTGACCTGTGTATTCGTAACCGTGGTAGAAGTGCCGTAGGGTTTTATAGGTTGTAAGGGTCCGATCTGTAGATCTGTCGGGTAGAGGTCTTAGGAGTTCTAGAAGTCGTAGCTTCAGGACTTCTGAAAGGTCAAGGTCGTAGCTGCTACAGTCTCTGAAAGGCCAAGACTAAACCTTCCGGAAGGTCATAGTATTGGCCTTTCGAAGCTGCTCACGTTTGGGACAGAGGCAAATGGGCAAGTGGTGGAGTCTACCCGTGCTGAGTCAGCAGTCCCAGTCCCTGTCAGTCCTAGTCCATTCAAGCAAGGACCGTACGGGACTGTGTGCACCACGGGCATGGGAAAGGACCAGACCAACGAGCTACAGAAGTATAAATTGAGAGGCAGCGACCAGCCATTCATTCATTCCTGCGTAAGCCATGCGGAAGCGCTGCCACAACGACTTGTGCGAGGTGGTCTGCAGGAGGCCCAAAGACGAAGTGGGCGAGAAGGAAGATTAGCCATAGCGATAGGGTAGCAGCGGCCATAGCCGCCATTGCTGATAGGAGAGAGAGTGGCGTGTGTGAGTGGGCGAGTGTACAGTATGTTGCGTGTGGGATATCCAGGGTGATCCTGTGTGCGAACAACAGTGTTGAGCAAGTGATGAACAGAGAGTTGTACAGGCGCTGATGCGCCAGAGCCATCTGAAGTCTCCCTCTCTGCCTACGGTTTACCGGGCAGTTCTATTTGACGATATATACTACGACTTCACTAGCTTCCTGCTACAGTTTTCTCCGGTCAGGTCGAGCGGCAGTGGTCGGGGCTGTCACTACGCGGCCATGCTGTGCCTCTAGTGCCAGCGGCGTGTCTGGAGTGTATTTTTTGGCTGTGACAGACCTTTCTTTGTTTCGTGGGTGTTNCGTGTCTGGAGTGTATTTTTTGGCTGTGACAGACCTTTCTTTGTTTCGTGGGTGTTTTGCTGGCTTGTGATGGGGTGTGAACCGACAGTCTGTAGAGTTTTCCATCTGGTGTGGGTGAGTGATAGTCTACTTTGATTTTGGTTAATGTGGATTATCACTTACAGTGTAATCAGTGAGGGGATTCTACAGACTGTTTCGTATTTTATTTTTATTTCAAATTTGGTAAAGAATGATGTAACCCTGAGGCAAATATTGTTCAGTTTATTTTGCTGCATAACATATATTGTTTTCAGATTTTTTGGATTTTTTGTTTTTATGGGTCCGCTTTTGGCCCAAACGGCCGAACGTGTCTACGGGGGGCCCCGAATGTTCGGGCGTTCGGGTTCATCCGTCCGGCCCCAGCTGAAAGCCGGGTACCATGTTATACAATAAATGAAGAGAGAATTAAAATCAGTGTGTGGACGGGCACTTTTTAAACACCGCCATGTTTAGAGATTTTTCCTTTTTTTTTGGATCTATCAAATGCCTTAAAAATTAAAATTCAAATCTTTGTATCTCACATGAGTCACATCATGTTTTTATTTTTATTTTTTTAATTTAAACCTCCGGGTGGATGCCAGAGGTGTTGATAAGAGCAGACACCCCTAGCATTCTTGGGAGGCTCCATCTATTGGTGGAGAGCAGCACCTGCTAGAAACCGGGTCCAGCGTCCCTGAACATTGACATCATTCTTGGTATACAGAGATAGAAACGCTCTCCTGCAGATCTGCTATCGTGACATACCCCGGAGTTGTACTTGCAATCCTGCTGAACTACCTATTGAAGATCCTGAACATCTGAACTCATTGCCATCATGCCAGCATTGATTGCCCTGAAACCAGGGGATTGACTGAGCAGGTAAAGCCTACACCGCTCCGTACCACTGTAGATCCACAATGGAGAGGCCATCAGGTGGAAAGGGATCGGGGAAATCAGAAGGAGGGCGCAGAGGAACCGCCCCATCTAACTTGGTCCAATCGTTAAAGCAGATACCATAGTCCCTTCTGAACATATTATTTTCAAAAGGACCGTCCGTGGAACAGCCGAGCGCTAGCGCTAGCGCCCCCTTGCCGCCAGTCCGGCAAAGCCCGGGCTGCCGGCTCGACTAGTGCCCGGGGGGGTTTCCCCGGGCGCTGGGCCTGTACACGCGCCCAGCAGACGCGCGTGGTGTTTTGCCACGTGGCGCCAGCTGTTGGTGACGCAGGAGTCCCGTGACGTGTTGACGGGGTAGCGCCAGCCGTGGAATTGTTGACACGTGGAGGTTTAGTGGCGGTGGCTTCGAAGCTATCAGCGATGACAGGGGTGGGCATGGAGACTTCGCTTCATGGGAGGCTGCGGGGAACCCCTCTTGATCCGCAGGTTGAGGAGGAAGTGTCCGCGCTGGCTGTTGTGATGACTTACAAACAGCAGTTGGAGGAGACGTACACGGTGCTTTGCCAAGCGAATGGAGATCTGCCATGCGACGTTCTGCTGGAGGGATTGGAGACCTACGACGGGTGGGATGATGAACTCTATGATCTCATCTCTTTCCGACAGCAGGATGCGAATGACAGGGCGAGGGCGATGGCCGTTTTCTATGAGTGCATCGACATCCTGCAGCAGGTCAAGGATACTTTTGCTGCCCGTCTAGCGACGAGTCGCGCAAGTGGTCCGCCGGATACTGACATACGCACAACATCGACAGTACCAACAACATCAATAACACCATTAACAACACCAATTTCATCAACGGCGATAACGGCGGCACTGACTTTGACCACGAGCACATTACCAGTGGTCAGTACGGTTTCGTTGCCAACACCAGCAACAGCAGTGACCGCATCACCAATAGCATCATCAACAAGATTACGGTTGACAGCAACAACGGTACCGACAGCGGCTACACAGACGGACGCCGCCTCGTCTGCGCTGTCAATTGCAACATTTACACCAGTAATATCACTATCTATAGAGATGGCGCCGTCAAATTGTCCTGGTTGTGTCTGCCAACGGGAGCTGTTTGTGCAGGGTTCTGACGTACGGGGGTTGGAAGAGGGGGCGCCCTCTTACGTGGCGTTCGCGGGTCTGTCACGATCGAACGTGCTTAAAATGTGTGGCTGCAAAACCCTTGAGGAGGGGCAAGGGTTTTGTGGCAAGTGCGACCTGCGTGTTTCAGCAGACGATTTTTGGGCCAGCAGCAGCACCGTTGGGGACACACCAAGGAAGGGTGACATTCGTCCAAGTATAAACAACAATTACTGTAATATTGTGTGCACTGATGAAACCACCAACCAAATTGCTGCCGGCATTCGTGGAGAGGTGAGTGGGATTTGCCTGCTTTTCATTCCATCTCTCTTCTGATCTGCTGTGGGGGACGACTGGGGTCAGGAGCGAGAGGGATGGGGAATCGTTGTGCTTCGCGCACAGGAAGGCGAAGCTGGGATGTGGGAAGTGGGATGGAGGCGTGAAGGAGTGCGATAGTGAGGACAGTTTTCTATTTGTTCTCATGCCCTCTACCCTGTGTGGATTGCAGTAGGTGGTTGTTGTAGGTTAGCGAATATGAATTCAGTTTTCCGGCTTCGATGTCCCTCCCTTTTGCGATTCGGTGCGATTTTGGTGCGATCTCGGTTTAGCTGCTGAATATGACGATCGGGGGGGGATATGGCGATTCCTAGATAATTTCGAGTGAGGTCTTGGAGATGATTTGAAGATGACCATGGAAGTAGCCATAATAAATGTTTTGGTTTATGTTCTTACTGCCGTTTCCGTTCATGATCTTATGAAGCTTTTTAGTACTGCACAATGACGGATTCGGAATATGATTTTTAGGGGCAGGTTGGCAGCCCGGTTTTTTTGCGGGATTCCGCTGCGAGTGACTGCTGAATTGAATTCTGCAGTGAATGACTTGCGATTCCAGCAAAAAAAAAAAAAAAAAAAAAAAAAAAAAAAAAACAAACAAACAAACAAACAAACAAACAAACAAAGAGAGGAGACCAGGCTTCACATAAGAGGCCTCTCCAATCCCATGGCCATGTGGATGTAGTGCCGAGTTGTCGCCAGATCCTGTCCAACCATCGCCATGTCAAAATCACCCCCGAGCATTGCAGAACTCTATGGTTTCCGCGATCTTACGGTGAGGAAAGTAGGTCAAACAGGAGTGACACCATGGCAGCGCTAAGCCCTTTTGTTCTAGGTAGGTTCTATCTATTCGCCAATTATTTGTAGGGAGGCAGCGGTGCTCTATCTGCCACTGCAGCGAGGTCAGTTTCGCCGGTTTGGATCTCGTGGCCTTAAACCATTGGATGGGTCCAACTGCATCCCTTCCCACATTCAGATGGGTTAGCCATCGTTCTCTCACAATGTCTTTCACATTTATCCTTGGTCTCGGGAGGCGGTAGGCAGATTTCACTGCAACGTGAATAAAATTTTATTTACCCCCGTTTTACTTGCCGGATTCCATTGTCATTCCTCTGGATCAAACAAGAGTTTAGCAAGCGGGGTTTCAGGAATGGAGTACTCGGATGCGGTGCAAATCTGTCTTTTCCACCATCTCAGCACATCAAGGTGATACCTCTTTAACCTATTGTCATGTTCCCGATGAAAAAGATTCATCAGTGCTTCCTTTGTGTGTACCACCACCACGTTCCCCACGCTTTCTGGATCACTCGGGATAGCCACCCAGTCTCCTTCTTGTAGACACGGTCCTTTGCACAGGATGCGCACCCAATCCAAGGGTACCGTAAAATTTAATTCCTCCATGTTCTTCCCCACGTGATCGCAATATTTTAGAAGAGGTTTCAACTTTTTTTTCTGTTTGTCAATTCATCTCCTCCACTTCCCATATGTCCCTGATTCTTATCACCCCCCTTTTGACCCAGTTGTTCCACGAGGGGTCCGAACTGTGGTATACCCTCCCGTACCAACCAGTGTACCGATCAGTGATGTGTATATTCTCGAAGAGAGGTTGTCTCACCACCTCCTCCCACCTGGACGGCTTGCCCTTGTCTGGCAGGGGAAGTTGGTTCCACGCGCGAAGGGTTCTGATCCAGAAGTTATCCCCGACCAAGTATCGTCTGGCATCCCCCCTTTTTATGTTCCTTTGGGATTTGGAGGGGCGAGGAATGGACCAAAAGCGGTTCAGGCCAGGTCAGCGGGTGGACCTCACGAGGGGTCTAGGGAGCCAATCGTGCAATTTATTCAAGGGCAAGGGCCGCCCACGGGAGATGCGGGGTGAATAGCAACCGTCTGATCCATTGGACCATCAATGTCGTAACCTGGATAACCGGGTCTAGAGTTCCTAGTCCCCCTTTGTCTTTCGGTTGCAGGTGATTCTAGAGATCACTGATCACATTAGAGAGAGTGTTATACCCCCTCCAAAGCAGCATGTTAACCTGTCTCTTCAATGCTTTGACGACCTCTTTGCCAAGGGCCCATATCGCATATTTGTACCACAATGAGGCCAATACAACATTGTTGATGGCCAAGGTTCTGCCCATCAGCGATGTCCGCTTATCATTCCAGTGGACAATCTTTTCCAGCGCGGGCTTCAAGATTCAGTCACCATTCGAGGTTGGTCTGCCCAAGGCAGTCATCATGATGCCCAAAACCCGCATCGGAGCATCCGTGGGTAGCCATTTAACCTGCGGCTGCTCAGGAGGGCGCACCCCTTGGTGGTGAATCCATCACCCCAAGGTCTTGGTTCCCCAATCGACTGTCATGTTGGACACGTCTATGAACCGCTCCATGAGGTTTGTGATCTCTTTCATATTTGTAGGAGAACCATCCACCATGACAGTCAGGTCGTCAGCGAACGTAGAGCAGATTGCGATGGCTTTATCTAGAATGGCAAAAATCTGGAGTTTCCGCAGATCCTTGTTTGTGCGGATGTTCGCGGTCAGTGCTTCCATTACGATAATGAAGAGGAAAGGGGTAAGCGGGTCTCCTTGGCGGACTGATCTCTGCAGATGGATTTTTGGAGTCATAATTTCATTTACCTGAACTCTCATAGTGACGTTTGTGTGCAGAATTGCAGTCCATCTTCAGATATGTGGACCGAAGTTCATTTTTTCCATACATGTATCGAAAAAAAAAACAATCCACGTGATCATATGCTTTCTCAAAATCTATAAAAATTACGGCTGCATTGCATTTATTCTATCCTGTTAATCCGAAGACCTCATTTTTCAACAGAATGTTGTCATGAACTCGTAGCTCTTTGCTGAACCCCATTTGAGGTTTTCAGGACAGGGATCAGGTGGTTTGCAAGGGTCTTCGCTAACATTTTGTACACAACCGTAAGCACGATTATCAACCGATAATTCCTGATGTTCATTTTGTCCCCTTTTTTATGCAACGAGGTGAGGACGCTCTGTCCAACCAACTCCCCCGTGCACCCGGATTCCTACACCTGCTCGTAATACTTCATAAGGTCCAGGGCCATCATGTCTGGAAATATTTCCCAGAACGTTTTTGAGAAACCATCTAGGCCCGACGCTTTTTCCTCCTCATTTGCAGCAAGCGGTCCAGATTTCCTCCTTGGATAACGGGTGGTCGAGTTGTGTTTTCTGTTGTTCGGATAATTCTTTTTTCAGCGGTTGTAGGAAGGTTGCAACCTCTTCCTCCCTTAACTGCGTGTCCCGCTCTGAACATCTGGATGTGAAGAGGTCCTTAAAAAGGACCACACTATCTGTATACACTGTGGAGTGGAGACTGCTACTTCCTCACACCCTTGCTTTGGATCGTACAGGGCCTCAATGCATGTCCTTCGTGTACGTATACGGGTCAGGCTAAAGAATTTAGTGTCCATTGTGCCTTCGGTTTGGTAGCGTGACATTCTTGCTCTGATTCGCGTTTCTTCCCATCATTGGGCGGCAAAGGTCTGCAATTGTTGATGTAGGCCTTGTATATCTGTTTGATAGTTCGAAATAGTACTTACCATATCTGGAGCGTCCTGCTGTTCAAGTTCAAGTTGTTGAATTTGTTGAAGTATCTTTACCTCGCGTTCATGTCTGCGAGCCGCTAATTGTGGCAAATATTCTTTGCCCTTCTTGTTGAGAAAAAACAAACCACTATTAAACCAGTCGATTTCCTGTTGTATGTATTGCTTTCGAGTGTGCCAGAATGCCCAGCAGTCCTTTATGTCCTCTAGGAACGACTTCTCTTGAAGAAGAGAAACATTTAGTTCCTAAAACCCAGTACCCTAATCGGGTTTCTTACGTACACATCTTCTGATCCAGCCCAGGGCATGGGCTCCGTGGTAAAATGGCTGCTAAGAGCAGCCAGCCCTGCAAGTCCTCTGACATAAGAATTAGGTCAATCTATCCTAGATCTGGATCCACCCTCTGTTCCTTCCTTCCGGATGCAAGAGTAGTACCTCATATCTGGGTGAAGCTTCCGAAAAGTGTCGACAAGCTTCAGTGATAGGCATAGGTCCTGGATCATTCCTTCATCTTCCCCAATCTAAAGAGGGGCGTGGGAGGACGTTCGCCATTTGTCCCCATCGGTCCGGGGTCGTGTTGTAGTCTCCCGCGATTATGACCGGGACCCCCGTCGGGATCTGCAATTTGAGACTCTCAACGAAACGCCTCCTTTCCCCCACCCCCATTGGGGGTGTAAATACTGACAATACATACCACTTCAAGTTCTATCCTGATAAGAATCGATACCCATCTTCCTTCCTCTTGGTCCACTACCCAATGGATGGTGTCTGCCCGAGACTCTGGGGAAGCCAGATGGCAACCCCTGCACTCCCGGGTTTTGGGGCGTGTGCTCTGAAAGCTTTATGTGGCCAGACCAGTTTGTGAATTCTGTTGTGTTCTGGGGAGTCCATGAGATGGGTATCCTGCACACAGATGATGTCCAGCCAGCTTCTACCCCCCACCCCCCTGATTAGGTCCCAGATCGCTTGCTTTTTTTCTGGTTTTACAGTGGCGAGCCCATTCACATTTAGGGACCGCAGGTCCAGGTCAGCTGCCCTTCGACATTGATTCCAAATCTACATTGATTCCAAATCTTGCCTTTCCCATGGACTTCTTTCACCGGGTCCATCCTCGCCATTTCGCCCGCATGCACCTGACAAATTACGATTACAGCCGTTCTCACAGTCGCTGCTCCCAGTTCCCGCCCTTTGTTCCCATACCGTTACGAAGGAGGGTCACATCATACAAACCTAGTTAAATTAAAATAATTTCAAAAAAGAATAAAATTGTCTAGGCCGGGTAGGCCCTGAAATAAAGTGAAAACAAAAAAGTGAGAAGGAAACAAAAAACAAAATAGAGAGGGCACGTTTTGGCACCGCCATCTTTGGCGATTTTTCATTTTTTTTTGGCTGAGCAAAATGCCTTCAAAATTTGTAGGCATATATTTCACATCATAAAGAGCTCACAAAAAAAAAATCAAAAAAATGAAATAAAATTTAGGCCCCAACACAAGTTTTGGCGAGGGACGAACCCCTTGAGGTTCAGACCCCTAACGGGACCCCAAACTCCCGAATGTACGGAGGTCGGCCCCGGGCCTCCCTACGTACGGGCTGGTAACCCTGTATATATATATATAATCTCTTGCTTTGAACACCTTCGCTGCAAATATTGTCCTCGTCACCATTTTCCACTTCCAAACGACCAAAAATAATTCAACATTATCCATTTAGATATGAACAAATCATTCATAATCTTTTATATACCAATTCTAATAATAGTATAATACACAGCTGCAATTGGACATTTGCTGCTGGTTTCTTTCTCATGTCATT